AATTTCGGAAGTGCCAAACCCAACCGAATTGCTGAAGTGCCGAATTTCTGAAGTGCCGAAGTGCTTCAGATTTCTGAAAAGTGGCAAAACAGGAGATAAGAAATTCTAACTAAAAGAAGTGCAAACATTAGATGACTCTTTACAGGAATTGCATAGGAAGACTGTGTATGTCACATGCAGGGACATGTGCCTAGGGATGTATAAACTAAGTGTCACGACACTCCTTAGTTAAAGGACCACTCTAGGCACCCAGACCACTTCAGCTTAATGAAGTGGTCTGGGTGCCAGGTCCAGCTAGGCTTAACCCATTTTTTAATAAACATAGCAGTTTCAGAGAAACTGCTATGTTTATCAATGGGTTAAGCCTTCTCCTATTTCCTCTAGTGGCTGTCTCATTGACAGCCACTAGAGGCGCTTGCGTGCTTCTCACTGTGATTTTCACAGTGAGAGCACGCCAGTGTCCATAGGAAAGCATTATGAATGCTTTCCTATGTGACTGGCTGAATGCGCGCGCAGCTCTTGCTGTGCGTGCGCATTCAACCGACGGGGAGGAACAGAGGAGGATCGGAGGAGGAGAGTTTTTTAAGTTTTTACCCCTTTCCCCTTTCCAGAGCCGGGCGGGAGTGGGACCCTGAGGGTGGGGGCACCCTCAGGGCACTATAGTGCCAGGAAAACGAGTATGTTTTCCTGGCACTATAGTGGTCCTTTAATATGCCCTTGTGCAGTACTCACACTCACCACTGTTTTTGTTTGGCACTGTTCCTAATTTCTTTTCGTTAAGCACTTCACCTGGTCCTTGTTTAGCACCTATATAGTTTGGTTTCTCCCCTCACTCCTTGCCAGATCATTGTCTCTTGTCTCCTGTTTCCCTGGTTCCTGTTTCCCTGTAAATCTGGCTCCTGGCTCCTTGATCCTGCATACTGTTCCTTGGTCCTGTGTCCTGCACCTCCTGGTCTTTGTTCCTGTGTTCTCCTGGTCTTCATCCTGTGTCCTCCTGATCCTGCGTTACTGTGTCCTCCTGGTCCTTCGTTCCTGTGCCCTCCAATCCTGTGTTCTGGTTCCTTGTTCTCTGCTTTATTACCAGTGATCCTGACCCTGCAGCCTTGTTCATTTATTCTGCTTCTGATCTTGCTTCATGCTGTCAGTATATTAGTCTTGTGACTCTGCATCTGTGCCCTACCTGCTACTTGTGGTAACTGCACAATCCTGCCCTTATACCAAAGGACTGTTTCAGTATATGTTTCCTGCACGATTCGTGCTTATTCTGATTTATTGTGTATGTATTTTGTGGCATTGTATGTATATATTTTGTTTTGTCTTTTGGTTCTCTGTAAATATATATATATATCTCTTGATTTACCCTATTCATTTGTGTCTTGGCATTTATTTCTTTGCTGTATTGGTTCCCATATTTAAAGTAACAGTGCTGTTCCAGGGCAGCACCCCTTCATGTCATTACACTAAGTGATTTAACTCCTAAATGGCAGAGACTTGAGCAGTCAGACTGCAGGGGCATGTTCTATACACCAAAACTGCTTCATTAAGCTAAAGTTGTTTTGGAGACTATAATTTTCCTTTCATATTGAATGAAGTATTGAAGCTATGGCCACTATTAGTACTATTCAAAATGTTTGTCTGGTTTGCTTAAACATGAGCTTTTATAATAACTGAAGCATGCAGGATATTCCCATTATCAGATATGCTCCGAATATATCTGATAGTACGAACTACTTTAATGGAAAAATTCTCTCGTGACTTGTTTTTATGTCCTCTTCTTACATAAAGCATATGTTTTGTATGCAGAAGCCTATCTTTTCATTTTACCCTTTCCGTCACATTCTTTATTTTAAAAATGATAACTATTTTAATGATTCTGTATTTCTTGTTACACTCAACATTCAAGTGCACATGGAGTCCCTTGGTACTTTCAACATTTTAAAGGGCAAAATTAAAAAAGAATCCAAATTGATTTATAGTCGAATTTGCCTTGAGATGAATCCTCTGTTTGCTAGTTTGCATTATACTACTGGAAATAACTCCAGACTGAAAAGAGAAAAAAAAAGTTCATTGTAAAGTTAAATGCTAAACAACTTCGAAAGAAAACAACTAAATTTGTATGATAGTGTCTGTTTAATATTTTAAAAGGCCTTCAGCAGATGTTTTTAGTTTATTTTGGTCCTGAACCAAAAATATGTCCAGACAAGCCAAACCACAAATTAATAAGATAAACCACAGTGTAGGTCAAATTGTTTGGGGACAAAAATAGTTCTCTTGGAGCCTGGAGCTTGTTCTTAACTTTACCCTAGTTGTGTACCTTTGATCTGTAAGATTATATTGCCTTTAAGAAATCTGATGTGAAATGGTTTAGCATATGTTTGAATAAATTGTGTTACAATAACCTCAACACAATAACGCAATTGTAATTGGGGTCTAGTCAATGCATTTACTAAATTGTAGCAAGCAACATTTTAAATAAAATCTTGAGTTCCTTGTTGGGATCAAGATGGGGTCCAATGGAACACCACACAAACTAAGAATTACTGTGCTCACTGTTTGTTCTAAGAGACTGGACAAACATCTAACCCTTATAATGTTTGCATTCTTGAACGGCATTATCTTAACAAAATGTGGTCGAAATATTAAAGATAAATTAGCACGAACTGAACATTTTTCACCATCACTGTGATCATTTGTCTATAATGAAGTCCCTGCTTTTTTGTAATATCAGACTGACTAGAAAAGCTTACTGTTTTTAGATAGTCATTAATTTTAGGAAATAATAAAAAAGGCTTATATACATTTTTTCAAAACCTTAAGCTTGTCTTCTTTTTTTTGCCTTCTCATTTTGACACAGGGCTCACTGGGCAGCTTTTAGGAGTTCTCTTAAGTCGATGGCTTGTATTCGATATGTTTGCTTATGATATAAATGTGAAATTGACATGTTTTTCGTAATACAAAGAACTTGTCATTGAAGATTTTTAAGACCACAAATATGAATTTAAATATGAATTTAAGACTTGTTTCAAATTTACTAAACTATAATCTCGTCAGCTTTTTTATTTTATTATAATTATCCATTTTGTTTTGGGCATTTTCACAACATCATTTCATCTTTGTTGTATCTTGGTTCTCATCATTTCATCTTGGTTGTATCTTTTTAGGAAACTTGCATGCTCTGGTGTTCCAGACTCCATGTGGTTGCTCCTCGTCCCCATTTGATCTCAGACAATCCAATGCTTTCCCATAATGAAGCATTGGGAGGCTAATGCGCATGAGCGAGAAATTACGGTGCTACACCAATCAGCATATCCTCATTATGTCATATAGAGCATAGGGACACTAAACATTGCTCCTGCAATATTTGTAAAACCAAAACCAGGAAGTCGATTTAGTAAGGAACTTGGGCAGCAATGTAAATACTACATTTTCTATGAAAAGTCAGCGTTTACACTACTCAGCTTGCACGGATGTCCCCAAACCACTATATTAAGCAGTAGTGTTTTTGGTGTGTATAGTGTCCCTTTAATAAACCTAGAGAGAGTTATCATGTTTCAAAATTTAACTTGGTTTTCTTGGGAGATCAAGCAGGAGGTGTAAAATGTGAAGTTTGCCTATTAGTTCTTTTAGGTACACACTTTAAAAAGTTCTTAAATTAACACATTCTCATAATTTTGCCTTCTTTTATGTTTTTTTCTCCTTCCCTGTGACCATATCAGGATATACTGATTCATCTTATTTGAAAATATATCTAACAATAGCCAATGTAAAACATAACCTTAAATCTACTATGCACCATTCTTCTGATTGGTTTCAAGATGTATGTATACAAAAATAAAAAAAATAAAATAAATAAAGATAACATGATAGATACAGCATAGCATGATACAAGAATAAGAATAACATATCAGTCTACTTTCATAGCTCTACCTCAAACTTTTGGTAGTATTGGAAGCTTTAAGAAGCTACTTGTGTTTAATGCTGTAAAATGCATTCATAAGAGAAATGGTCTCCAAGATGAACAGTTGATGAATACATGCTAATCAATAGTGAGATATATTATATTTTCAGTATGACAACAAATGATTTCATATACAAACAAGTATGCAAGCATGCCCGGAGAAAATAATTAATATTTAAAACAGCTACAACATGCTAAGATATAAAAAGATACTTTTAATAATAGATGGGTTTTGGTTTTTAGTTTTTTGCGTTTTGTGACTCTATACAGTTTGCAACGCACTGGAATATGTGCAAAATCTATATCTATACAAACAAGAAACAATTATTTTCTCGCATTTTCTGTACAATTATCTGGGCTTTCTGATTTAGGTAACCAATACCCATCATTCCAGATTAATTTACACAGCTCGACAATCGAACTTTAAAAAGCAACACATTTCTTTCCAGCACTGGTTTTTCTTTTTGATCTAGACTTATGGGGCAAATCTCCTAATAAATAATTTACTTAACAATGATCAAGTGGTGAGGCTATCTTCTTGATGTAGGTCTTCTCCATCTCCAGGAGGTCATCAATAGTGAACTCTCAGCCATGACCTTCCAGACTCACTCAATACCAAATGGTCAAATCACAACCAGCTCTGAAATAGATTAACGTATGATATTTTATTTCTACTGGATCCCTAATGACTAAGGATTATTGAAAATACCCAATCCAAAAGAAGAATCATTAAAAGTACCATTTTCATTTCTTCTGTACATAGCTAGAAAACATTTAATTTTTTTTTCTGCAAAAACCTATTAAAGGAGGCCATTTAGATAATAATTTTTGAAAGTTCTTCTCTCGTTTCCACTTAAGAATTCCTAAGATAACATTTTTATTTTAACCCCAAGTCATAGTTATCCCTAACATTCCAAAACGAGAATCAACTTTCAAGAATCTACCATTGGGTTCTAAATAGAGATGTAGCGAACCGTCCGCGAACTTCTCGCGAACAGTTCACCGCGGTTCGCCACGAACCATTCGTGGCGAACTCCGGTCAGCTGACACATCCCAGCCAATCTCCAGCAGACCCTCCCTCCCAGACCCTCCTACTTCCTGGACAGCATCCATGTTGAAGCTGCCTTCAACATGGATGCTGTCCAGGAGGTGGGAGGGTCTGGGAGGGAGGGTCTGCTGGAGATTGGCCGGGATGTGTCAGCTGACCGGAGTTCACTGCGAACGGTTCGTGGCGAACCGCGGCGAACCGTTCGCGAGAAGTTCGCGGACGGTTCGCGACATCTCTAGGTTTAAAGTGATGGCTCCATTTAGAATGTTTGCTAGAATCCCTCTTTATACATAATACACATTAAATTATGATAACAGGCAAAAATAAATAGAAATATATTATTTTTATAGCCAGTTTTTATTTCGATTCATATTCAACTTTTTCGTAAAAGAAATAAAAATCTGACTGACATAGCAAACAAAATCTCTGCCAGCATGGGCTGAGACAAGAACAAATTAAGTGGCATGTTTGAAGTCAAACTTTCATATTGTTGACGGCAATCAAATTACATGTCAGATGGTCTGTTTGGAAATAATGCAGATTGCATGCAACAGATTAACTCCCATAATGTTGTAACATAAACTAATAAAAATAAAGGAGAAAATAAATTGCCAATTGAAAAGGATCCTGGCAAATCTAGAGAGATGAGTCACACATAAATAGTGCTCGTTGTAAAAACAATCTTGAGTACAAACAGCTTATTGTAATGCCAAACAAAAAAAGAATTCTGATGGCTGAAACCTCCAGTTACATAATATAGCACACCATGTGGTCCTCAGGAATTACAGAAAGGATATACTGGCCAAAAAATATTTATTCTTGGCAAGAGAACAGGGTATAGAAATATGTGCCGCATTACATAGATGATTGTATATGAATATATCTGATTATATATGATTGTATATGAACAATATTTCATTTCCCAATTTAATTTTTTTTTAAAATATATATATTTATATATATATATATATATATAAAACTGATTTTCTCCCCCTTATTGGTGGTATGTTTTTTCCTCATTCTCTGGCCCCTTCCAGAGGCCTGGGAACTGAGGGTTCTGCACAGTATCTTAGCTGTTCCTAGAACTCCACTCTTCTAAACAGCGATCTCTAGATGCTCCACCTGAAATCTGTTGAAGCTACTCTCCCAACTTGTGAGTCACAGTCCCAAGTGCTCCTGTCCCAACTGGGACTGCTACTGCCTTCACTTTCCACATCCTTTCTAGCTCTTCTTTCAGTCCTTGGTATTTGTCTATTTTCTCATGTTTCTTCTTCCTGATGTTATAGTCACTGGGCTTTGCAACATCTACCACAACTTCAGTCTTCCACCACAATGCCACGTTGGTTGGCCAGTACTTGCTTGTCTGTCTGGGTCTAGAGGTCCTACAGGATCTTAGCCCTGTCATTCCCAACTACCCTTTGTAGTATCTCCCATCTGGCAGTTCCAGACCATATTCTGTACAGATATTTCAGTACTAATAATCCCAGCTACTTGGCTGTGTCTCACAATGTATGCTGCTTCTGCTGGCATCTTGCATCTGGTTACTATGTGCTAAATTATCTCAGAGGCCACTTTGCACAACCTGCACCTTGGGAATTGTTTGTTGTAGCAGACTCCTGCTTCTATTGATTTGGTGTTGAGTGCCTGTTCTTGTGCTGCTAGGATTAGTGCCTCTAGCTGGACATGAAGCCATGAACACCCATTGTTATTGGTTCCTATATCTGAATCTTACCATGCAGTGCCTTGATTCAGTGATTTGATTGCAGATTTTGGAGAACACAAAATGTGAAGAAGGCATCAAACTCTAGCTCCCCAGATGCTGCTGAACTACATCACCCATGATTTTCTGGCCAATTATTGCATTCAAACCGTGGAAGTCGTAGGCCATAAACATCTGGGGGAAGATTTTAAGGTCCCTGAATTGCGAATGCTCATTGCTTAACAAAGACTGACGTTGTGAGATTTTTAGGGCCACACTATGATTACATATTAAGCTCCTGATATTGTAGCCACGACTGGTTGGTATACTGTGACAAAGATTTAATTAAAATGAAATATATATTGAAAATGGATCATATATAACATAATGTTGCAGTCTTGTAAATGTAACTGAGATGTAACCAAAATAAGAGGGGAAAAAAAGGTTATATTTACATAAATTGAGAATAAAATGAATAGCAATGGTGCCGCTCAATATGGTACGATATAACTGATACACCACTACATCACAAATGGAAGACTGGTACCTACAATTGATCTTAAATCCATCTTACTTAGAGTTCATAAGGCACAATGATAACAAATTATTGGTATTCTCATTACTTTCACCTAAATATGGCCTGATCTTCATCGTACCTTAATATTGAATAATAGCAACACCAAAATATTTAAGCACAAAGGATTTATTTGATTTATGCTCGTTTTTTAAGTACATTCTGGGATCTAGGTATTTTTTTATTATGTACAAAGAATCTGATTAAACAAATATCAAAAATTATATTTGTAGGACTTTGTTGATAGGATTGATCAAACATTTAAGGTATTTCATTTGAAAAATATTAGATTGTTCAGATTTTATTACTTGTGACCATTCCTTCAGCAGCAACATACTTTAACCAGTTCTTTTCTGTTCTCTGTGCAGAATTTTAAGTAATTTTAGTATCCCCTACTTCTATTGCTTGAACTGTATAATTTATTACAATGCTATCAAAATGAAATTGAGTTAATACCAGGGTTTTTTTTTTCTTTATTTTTGCTGTGCATAAGGAATACAGATTGGCTTGTTATGCCACAACAGCTACAGCAAGCTTATCAATAGACCTAGTTAGACAGTTGCATGGCATAGGAGATACCTGCACATTTTTGTATTATAACATAAAAGAAACATGCTGGCTCGACAGTTGCTAGCTAAGTTGACAGATCCTATTGTTGAGTAAAGGTTGAACTTGTGTCTCTTAATGCAATTGAGTAGGCATGAGAAGTAGTAGTAGGTATCAGTAAAAGGCAAGCTAAGTAACCATATCTACTAATATAGCACAGGATTTGCACATAGTAAGACAACAAATTCCATACCTAGTGAGTTTTAGAAAAGACATATGTGCTCAAGGTCACGCCAGCTGCAACTGCTTAGTAGGACACCTCTGGAAGTGAACAATAAAACATAATTATAAATAATAAGAAATGAAAGTATAAACTAGTTGCCAGGTATATGTAATGGCTTCTGCAATCATCTGGTGAGTGAGTGATTCAAGCAACTGTCCTGCCCGCTTATTCAGCTGACTTCCATTAGTGGCAACGCAGGGGAGGCTCTGTACCGGAGTAGGGCACCCCTCATGCCCCAGGCTTGGTCGAAGGCCAGCATCAATGCACCAGAGACTTGGCCACTTATTGATGCCAAGTCTTTCCCTTTCTGAGGAACGATGGAAGGTTTTTAGGTGCCAGTTGCTTTTTGGTGCAGGTACTCTTGCGCCCGTGTGGGCGATGCGAGGTGGGTTAGCCTCGTAAGGCTCCCGACCCAGGCAGGCAATCAAGGGGTCGCGGTTGCTTACACAGACCCTTGTCATGGCGTGGGTGCCTCACCGTCTCCGGCTGCACACCTCCAAGATGTGCCTGTCAGCGTTTAGGTATGTCGGTTGTATCTCAGTTTTGCAGCATTGACCAGAAGCGCTTAGTAACCTCATCCAGTCTGAACCAGAGCTGTGGTAAGCCCCCTGGGTTAGGAGCAGCCCACCATTTTGGAGTTTCAAAGTGCGGTTCGGTGGTAACTCCGATAATAGGGTAAGTACGAGCAAGACAGCTTTCCAGAGGGGACCGGGATATCCCCCAATGGGAGTTAAGAACAAGGGTTTTAACTCAACCATTCTATAACATGAGCATTCTTTCTCCATTAGATTTACTTGTGTGTGTGGGATCATCGTTTTTCTGCATTATCTAATTTAAACATGTTCTAATGTTGAAATTGCTGGAACAGGCCATAATTTACTTTTGCCACAATAATGTCAAGTTTTCAAGTTACTGAAGATGCACAGCAGCCCCCTAACCATAATGTTTAAACAATGTTTTTTTCCCTATAAATTTGCCCATTCTCATGGACATCAATAATTTGTCTTCCGAAGTACTCACATTCTTCTCTTAATTGAAGAGTGTGTTACTTGCTCCAGGAATAAAATACTTCATCAGTGGCAACCAAGGTTTGTGTTAGTTTTATGTGACAGGGTTGCTTCAAACTCACCTCTGATAGTTCTTCCATTGACTGATCAGTTTACTCAAATTAAAAATCATATCAATGACTCCTTTCGATGCAACCCACAGGAGAACTAAATGATCTTTGTCTGCTCCTGCGCGAAAATTGTTCCTCTGACTAGACAGGAAATGTCAACAAAGATATGACCTTTGGAGCATAGATTCATGTTGGCAGTTTGTTAAGTAGCTGCTGGTCCATTAAAAGTAGTCCCTACTTTGTCTCAATATTTCTCTTGACTGGATTGAAATTTCAATGAAATTCCAACACAGTCAAAATGAGAATTTCATAAAGATTCCATCATTATGAAATGCTAGTTTTTCAGAGGGGAGTGACAGTGCTGCTTTACCATAATAACAAAGTATTGAACTAACTATCCAAAATGAATAAATCCCACATTATCAATCAAGCACCTGTAGGCAGCTGACTGCATTCTGCCTACTGGAAAATTCAGTAATAATTCTAAGTGAAATGTAATAAATTGTAAAAATGTCTTTATTAATTCACTTTTGGCAATCTGACTTTTTAACTTATTTCTTTTGGAAAGGCCTAATTCCAAGGTTAATGACAGGGAACCAATGGCAGCATGAGACACGTATGCATTTCATTTTATTTAAGTTTTACTTTTCAACAATCAACTGCTGACTCAAATTTTTAAATTCAAAGACCAGTTAAACAAAGACTTCCCAAATTGCTCCATATATTTAGAGATAGAATGATCGGTATTGAATAGAATAAAGCGGACATGGATAACGGGTTTTCTTTGTAACTGTTTTTGGACAAGGAATTATCATCCCATCGTGTGATTAATGATTGTTAGACGTACATATTAAAATAAGGAACTGAACATTTACCATTCAATTAACTATTGCAAAGAAACACTATACTAACAGAGTTATTCACTAAAATGAGA